GTTCGTTCTCTGAGCTTGTGGGTTGGTTTCTGAACGTTTCGTTACCAGGCTAGGTAACATCTTCATCAGAGTTTAGGGCATGTCAGAGTCAGTGTTCTTCTGTAATCATGTCTCATTGTTATCTTCTCCAGGCCACAAATACCCAAAGCTTCCAATTATTTATCATTATCTTTCCTTCTAAGGCTCCTTAGCATCTTGATTGTTCTTCTCTGGACACACTCTAGTTTGCCAATGCCCTTCCTAAAATGCAGTGCCTTGGATGCACATTGTAGAGAGGAAACATTACTTATTTTACCTGATATTATATTTTTGCTGAAGCAGCAAAACTGCATAGACCTGCATTTCTTTTTTAGAAGCTGCATCACATTGGATTTTTGCATTTGTTCCTGTTGGAATTCAACTTCAGCTTATCAAGATCCTTATTTTTCTATCCTTATGTCATCAGCAAATTTGACATTTTTTCATCTTTAATCCAAGCCATTTATAAATATATTGAACAGTATGGGGCATTATAACACAACCCAGATTCTCATGGAGTTATTGGCATATACTCATTGGGTGTAATTGTTTAATCAGTTGCGCTGATTTATGATAAAATATTTCCCAATTTCCTCTACTAGAATTTCATGGAAGTTTTGTCAAGTGCTTAAAAAAACCACAGCGTACATTATGTCCAAGCATTTTTATGGTTTATTAAACCAATCACTCTGTCAAGAAAAAAATTCAAGTTCATTCATATCTCTTGTTCTTGAGAAACATATACTAGCTACCAAATAATGCTTTGCTTTCACAAATTGTTTAACAATCTGTCCCAGAATTTTGCTTCATATTAAAGCCAAACTAATTAATTGGCAGTTATTCAATTGCATAGAAACAACCTTTTCTCTTCTCCTCTCCTCTGACATTACATTTAGCTCATGATTCTTCAAAGATAGTAGTAGTAGTAGTAGTAGTAGTAGTAGTAGTAGTAATAGTAGTAGTAATAATAATAATAATAATAATAATAATAATAATAATAATAATAATAAAGTTGGAAGGGACCTTGGAGGTCATCGAGTCCAACCCCCTGCTCAGGCAGGAAACCCTACACCATTTCAGACAAATGGCTGTCCAATCTTTTCTTAAAAACTTCCAGTGTTGGAGCATTCACCATTGGTTAATTGTTCTAACTGTCAGGAAGTTTCTCCTTAGTTCTAGGTTGCTTCTCTCCTTGATTAGTTTCCATCCGTTGCTTCTTGTCTTGCCCTCAGGTGCTTTGGAGAATAGCTTGATTCCATCTTCTTTGTGGCAGCCCCTGAGATATTGGAACACTGCTATCATGTCCCCCCTCGTCTTTCTCTTCATTAAAGTAGACATACCCAATTCCAGCAACCGTTCCTCATATGTTTTAACCTCCAGTTCCCTAATCATCTTTGTTGCTCTTCTCTGTACTCTTTCTAGAGTCTCAGCATCTTTTTTACATCGTGGTGACCAAAACTGGATGCAGTATTCCAAGTGTGGCCTTACCAAGGCATTGTAAAGTAGTATTAATACTTCTCGTGATCTTGATTCTGTCCCTCTGTTAATGCAGCCTAATGGCTTTTTTGGCAGCTGCCGCACACTGCTGGCTCATATCTAAGTGATTGTCCACTAGGACTCCGAGATCCCTCTCACAGTTGCTACTATTGAGCAAGGTACCCTCTATACTATACCTGTACATTTGGTTTTTCTTGCCTAAATGTAGAACTTTTTCAGCATTGAATTTCATTTTCTTAGATAGCTCCCAGTGTTCCAGTTTGTTCAGATCCTCCTGTATCTTAAGCCTATCTTTTGGAGTGTTGACTATTCCTGACAGCTTGGTGTCATCTGCAAATTTGATGAGTTCCCCATCTATCCCCTCGTCCATATCATTGATGAAGATGTTGAAGAGCACTGGGCCTAGAACAGAGCCCTGGGGCACCCCACTACACACTTCCCTCCAATTAGATGCAGTTCCATTGAGGACCACACGCTGAGTATGGCCGGTCAGCCAGCTACGAATCCATCTGGTGGTGATGTTGTCTAACCCACATTTTTCTATCTTATCGAGTAGTAAGTTGTGTTCTGCAGGCTTCCTCAAGTCTCACAAATATAATTACTTCAGTTTTGAAATTCAACTCATTCATGCACGCTGCAGGAGGTGCTCCCTAACTATTTCTTTATTTACCTTGAGTTGCCACTCCCTTTTTTGACAATTGTTTTGCTTAAGTTAATTTAAGCACAGGTTGCTTCAAACAAAGTTGTTTTTGGGAAGAAAAGACAACATAGGAATTGAAGAATTCTACCATCTGCCAATCTTTTATTATTATCCTATCATGTACTCTTAGCAGGGCACCAACCTTTCCTTCTTTTTTTTTATTACTGATGCAATAAAAAAATCATTTTTATACTTTTAGCTTTTCTTGAGAGACTATATTTCCTTTTACGATTTCCCCCCCTTTATTATAAGCTACTTGGTGGTATACATCTTTGTGATTTCATTTTTTTATACATTTCCCTTTTAACTCTTAGCTAGGTTAAAAGTTCCCTCTGCACCCACAACAGTTTCCTATTCTTTAGGAATGTGTGCCATGTACTTCCAGTAACATTTCTGAGAGGTGGCCAATCCTCATTGACCTAAGATTATCATGGGACCCCACCAAGTATTTCTCAAAGCTTGATGAAATTGACTCCCCTGAAAACTAGTGTGCATGCTCCAATTTCTTTTAAATGGATACCTGCCTGCTCCTTACACATTTTAAAATACTAAACACATGCCTGTTTATATTGACAAATACAATTTATGATGCAGAGCTGAACACCTCCTTTGTCATTTGGGGTCATTTACTTTGGCTCCTTAGTTAATTGTGTGATGTTTCTGAATACAGTGCTCTCATTCTAATCAGTTAATTGTCAATAGTGTGATTTTATGTATGTATTATCTATAACAAGACAAATATTATTTTGGTAGCTTAGCTTGATATTTTGGTATTATGTATTTGGAGAACCAATATGGTGTAGTGATTAAAGCATTAGGCTAGAAACCAGGAAACCGAGTTCTAGTCCCACCTTAGGCACAAAGTTAACTGGATGACCTTGAGCCAATCACTCTCTCTCAGTCCTAAGAAGGAAGCAATGGCAAACCACTTCCAAAAAAACTTGCCAAGAAAACTGCAGAGACTAGTCCATGCAGCTGTTAGGAGCAAAAAACAAAAACAAAAAACAAACCTAACTAGACTCGAAGCTGTCTGTGCGTGTCTGTGCATGTATGAATATCCTACATACTTAGCAATTTAGTAGGTTAGGTTTCTCTAGAACTTACATCCTATTTTAGTTTATAGGACTCATGAACTTTCTATTTATAAATACTCAGAAAAATCAGATAAATATAGCTTTTGCTCATAAAATCTCTAGATAATATCACAAGAATTTCTGCTATTTTCCTTTTATATGAAGCAAGAATGACTTAATCCAGTGCTCTTCAACATCTTCATGAGGGGATAGATGGGGAACTCATCAAATTTGCAGACGACACCAAGCTGGCAGGAATAGCCAACACTCCAGAAGAGAGGCTTAAGATACAGAAGGATCTTGACAGACTTTAACATTGAGCACTATCTAACAACAGCGACAAAGAATTGAGGCCTTTGAACTATGGTGCTGGAGAAGACTCCTGCGAGTCCCTTGGACTGCAAGGCGTTCAAACCAGTCAGTCCTAGAAGAGATCAACCCTGACTGCTTTTTAGAAGGCCAGATCCTGAAGTTGAAACTCAAATACTTTGGCCACCTAATCAGAAGGAAGGACTCACTGGAGAAGGGCCTAATGCTGGGAAAGATTGAGGGCAATAGAAGAAGGGGACAACAGAGAATGAGGTGGCTGGATGGAGTCACTGAAGCAATAGGTGTGAGCTTAAATGGACTCCAGAAGATGGTAGAGGACAGGAAGGCCTGGAAGAACATTGTCCATGGGGTCACAATGGGTCGGACACGACTTCGCAATTAACAACAACAACAAAATTAAATTCAATGGTGAAAAAGGTAAGGTTCTACATTTAGGCAAGAAAAACCAAATGTACAGGTATAGTATAGGTGGTACCTTGCTCAATAGTAGCAACTGTGAGAGGGATCTTGGAGTCTTAGTGGACAATTACTTAAATATGAGTCAGCACTGTGCTGCAGCTGCCAAAAAAGCCAATACAGTGCTAGATTGCTGTTGTTGTTGTTATTGTTACTCATGTTGTTTTAAGGACTGATTTTCCTCTGCTTGCCAATCCAAGAATAAACTGAGACTTTTTTTTCCAAACTCCTCCCAGCAAGATGAGTCAGATAGAATATAAAATGTCCTTTCTTGAAAAGTTATCTATTACCCACTTTACATGGCAGCAATTTTTCTCCTAGTGGTCTTTCCCTCCAATCTTGCAAAAGATTAAAATAGATCAAATTAAAAATTGTTTATGTCACTTCCACCAATCATGAGATATGTTCCTGCAATTCTTCAGAAGATAAGAATGCCAAATGTGGCCCTTGTCCTTTGAACTTATGGATGATACTTCATTATTAAAAGGAGTGCTTTATAATTGGTGACATGGCCTCACTGGTAAGTTTAGATATTTATTGCTTTAGCATTGTGGAACCCTTCTCTCCCAGGAGGTGTTTTAAGCATTATTACTAACAGTGCTTTTTTTCTTAAAAAAAAAAAAAAAAGGTGCCGGAACTCACACACGTCATACAACCTGCCTTGCCTACCCTACAAGGTTCCATCCAAAAAAAGTGCCGGAACTCCGTTCTGGGCGTTCTATGAGAAAAAAAAGCCCTGGTTACTAAGTATTTTCTTTTTGAAGTGTTAATGATAGGGATGTTTAAATCTGCTTTCAGTTTCATAAGGATATTGGTGTATACTTTTAAGCTGCAATTTTAAGTCCTGCGATGAGATAAATGAGTTACTAGAAAACGCACAACATGAAATGCATTTTATTTGCCTTAGTTACTAAGAGCTGCAGTACCTCATTAATAGCAAGTTGTTCTCCTCCACCACCTGGGTGGCCATAACGATGACTTGAACTTCGGAAATCTTCATATAAATCCTCTTCACTCCCAATGTCATCACTGGTTTTCTCTAGTGATCCATCAGCAATTACTAAAATGACAAATACATACATATATAGGCATATTTGTTTAAAGATGTTGGCAAAATCAGGATGGAAGTATTGTGATTAATGTGTTGAAGTCATGAATATAAAAACTGTAAAATAATCAGACTATACATTTTTAAAGTTTAATTAGAAAACAGAGCAATAATTTTAGGGCTCTGAAGTGCTTTAGATTTGCAGGCAAAAATATATTTCAAAGATATGCTCTGTCACAGCAGAATCCCAGGAAAAGACACCTTTGTCTTAAGGAGTTGCAGATGATGTGATGTATGCAACCCCACACTCTGAAACATCTTTTTTGCTATTGAATCCAGCATGTTTCTCTGTCAATAATTTATAAACAAATATAATAGAACTGATATACAGAGGACTTATGAGGAAAGCGCATTAGCAAGTACTCCTTGGAAAAAGGATAAAAAATTGGAATCTATTGTACCATAGCATGCATATTCTTATAATAAATTAATTTCTTCTAAGGACACTTCTGCTTCAGCAGCATTTCACCCCAATCCCACATACAACAGCTTGAAACCAGCCATAATTGTATTTCCATCTGCCAATCTCAAAATGCAAAGAATTACAACATCCTTAATAGTGTTTATCTCCTACCACCACCACCACCAACCCCGACTACAAAGACCTATCTCTGACTGGGAAAAAAAATCCCATTATAAAATAAACTGCAACTGAATTTCTCCTTTCTCTATATTTCAGAATATGTGTTGGTGTGCAATCAGGTTATTTGTAAAAAAAAAAAAGTTAACAAAAAACATTGAGATCCTTTGCTGTCATTTCTCTGTTGCATTAACAACCATCCCATGGCCAAAAAAAAAGTAATAAAGGTGAAAATTTAAGTTCATAAGCAATTTAGAACTGGGCTTTCCCCAATAATTGAGACTAACACTTTATGTTTCTAGGCAGCTGAATGATGGTGGTAAGAGATAATTAAGTTTTACACTTTCATCTATTGGAAGTTACAAGTTCAACAGGATGCTAATCTCTATGGAATAGCTTGAATCTTAAAGCCAAAAGTAGAATGAGGCAGAAGTTCCTACCAATTGGAAAACAGATTGCCCATACAGTATGTATAGTCACAGAAATTCCAAGAAAAAGATCAAATTTTCTGTTAAACAGAATAGAATAAGAAAACAAATCATTCTCTAAAATAGTTGACATTGTGAGTGCTATCAGGTGCAGAGAAGATTCCAAAGTGGTGCAAAGCATTAGCATGAAATACCAAAGATCCTAATCCATTAGCTGGCCTTAAAAGAAGCTGCAATCTGTTAAACACAAAGACCACAAAGATAGTAACAGTACCTGGCCTTAAAGGACTGTTATTTGGATTATTAAAATGTTACAGCTGAGAAAGAGTGACAAACAATTGCTCAGCCCTGCCCTATCACAGGAGAATGTATACAGGCAGTCCTCAACTTACGACACAACTGAGCCCAAAATTTATGTTGCTAAGTGAGATATTTGTTAATTGAGTTTTGCCCCATTTTACGATCTTTCTTGCCATGGTTGTTAAGTGAATCATTGCAGTTGTTAAGTTAGTAACATGGTTGTTGAGTGAATCTGGCTTCCCCATTGACTTTGCTTGTGAGTAGGTTGCAAAAGGTGATCACATGACCCTGGGACACTGTGACCATCATAAATATGAACCTGTTACCAAGCATCCAAACTTTGATCACATGACCATGGAGATGCTGCAGCAGTCATAAGTGTGAAAAACAGTCGTAAGTCCCTTTTTTCAGTGCTGTTGTAATTTCAAATGGCCACTAAATGAATTGTTGTAAGTTGAGGACTACCTTTATGGAGATCACAAGTTGCCCTTCTTTTTCAGTTCCTGCCTCAGTGAAAACTTTTGTTGCACACCAATCATCCCAATTCAGTCACAGAAGCATCATAGAGTACTGAGAGATACATCCATTTGAAATAGTAGGGAAAACACTCCTAGTTAATATAGACAACCAATGAACCTGAAAAAGCAATAGTATAACTAGGAAAAAGGCGGCTTTGTAGTTTTTGTTATAGGAAGAAGCAAATATTTCCTGCCTAGGTGTTGAACCTTCCTCCCATCTACTTATTCTTGATTCCTGGAATCCTTTCAGGTCTGGATATCTCATTTTTTTGCTTGTCTTAGCTCCTTCCATTTGTTTATGACAACACAGGCTTTCCAATGTTTTAAATAACAACCACGGTAATATACAAAGCAACATCCGAATGAAAATTGTAGCATGACAAGGATGCTGAGATGGATCAGAAGCTGTGTGCAAAAGAGTAAGTAGAAACATCAGAAGCTTTGTACAAAAATCAACTGCACAATGAAAGTAACAATTGCTGGTGATAATTGGGATAGGTTAATCTCAATAGATCAATCTTTCAAGGAGACTCCCTATCAAGACTATTATTTATCATTGTATTGATTCTTCCACAATAATACTGAACAAGTCAAGCCAGGGCTATCAAATATCAAAAACATTTGCCAGGCTATTCATTTCCTTTTCATGGATGATCTGAAGCTGTATGGAAAAACACCATCTCAAATAGAATCACTGCTCAATACTGTCCATATATACAATCAAGATATTGAAATGGAATTTTGATTGGACAAATGTTCCACCTTTACCATCAACAAGGGGAAAATAGTGACAACTAAAGGAATCAAGAAGCCCTATGGAAGTAACATCAGGGTCTAGATCAGGGGTGTCAAACTCGCAACGTCACGTGATGTGTCGCGATGTATCGCAACTTTTTTTCCATTGCTGGCAATGGGGTGAGTGCAGTTTCGGCATGACGCATCCAGCCCAAGGGCCGGCAGTTTGAAACCCCTGGTCTAGATGAAGAAGATCACTACAAATACCTGGGCATTCTTCAAGTTTACAACATCAAGCACACTGAAGTCAATAAGAAGATTAGAAGTGAATACATCATGTGAAAAATATCTTTAAAAGTCCAAATTCACTGGTGGAAATACAATCAATGCAATTAACATATGGGTATTTTAGTTATTAGATACATAACTGGAATAATGGACTGTACTCAAGCAGACTTAAAAACCCTGGATATGAAAACTAGAAAAATAATGACAATGAATCATGCCCTTCATCCACTGAGCAACACTGATGTACTCTACTTACCAAGGAACATAGGTGGGCATGGAATGTTGCAAGTACATCAGACAATTGAAGAAGAAATAAAAAGGCATTGGAAGAATATCTGAAGGAAGGGCAATGAAGAAGATGCACTAAAGTTAGTATACCATGAAGGCTTCCTGAACAGTGGAGAGTCCAAACTGGCCTACAAGAAAGACCAAATAAAGAATAGAAAAGAGACATGGCAAGGCAGAATTACATGGCCAGCACATACACACACACACACACTAGCAGGCAAAGCAGATAACAAGTCCTGGCAATTACTAAGAGCAGGAAAGTTGAAGAAAGAAACAAAGGGGCTAATCCTTGGCTATAGGAGAACAAGCTGTAAGAACAAATGCATACTAAGTCGGAATTGGGAAAACAGTGACAGCAAATGCTGACTCTGCAAAGAAGCTGAAGAAACAGTGCACTATCTAGTTAGTTGTTGCAAGAAAATTGCACAGATTGTCTAAAAACAATGACATGACAAAGTTATGCCTGCAAGCACAAACTGGCAGGACCTCAAAATCCAGTCTAAATGGTTTTGCTGAATATATGACCAACTATAATAAAAATACAGCATTGACCAATTTACAATAGTTACAATATTTAAAAACAAAAACAAGACAAAAAGCACAAAAACAGCACAAGACAAAAGAACAACAATTGCAAAGTTAATAAACTCAGAAGAGAAAGGAAGGAAGGAAGGTGCATTAATTGTCCAATTTGTAAGAAGTGAAGTTGCTTATTCTTCCTTAACCTCCATGCATGCCTGCACTACTACTAGTTCCACTGCCATGCCACTGTGTCATCAGCCAATCATGAGGCAATAGCCACCTGCATGAACAAGGGGCTGGACCAGAAGACCTCCAAGGTCCCTTCCAATTCTCTTATTTTGTTAAAGTCTATGTCTAAGTCCTATTGTTAAAAACCCCACCCTAGCCTACTAATACAGTAATGGGCAATGTGTGAGAGAAAAAGGTTAGCACAGCCAATTATAGAAGCCTAGGCCCCTCTGTGTTATTTTCCACATGTCCAGAATAACCATCTGTATTGCATCATTATCTTATATACAACTGATCACTATCAAAACCAACAACCACAAATGGTTGTACTCTAAACATTTCAGTGGCATTCGCAAGTCACTTCTGCCCTCTTGCCAAGAAAACTGCAGGGACTTATCCAGGCAGTAACAAGGAGTCAACCCTGACGTAGACTCAAACACACACACACACACACACACACACACACACAAACATGATAACAATAAAGGGCTGCAGAATTAGCAATGTCATCCTTGCACCTCCAGAACATGAGTAGATTGCTATTTGTCTGAATAACGCCTGAAGAGGGTTTCTTTGTATGAAAAATAGTACATCAGTTTAGTCTGTGTGCAATCATATGCATGAATCATGTATATATCATTTTTGTCCATGAAGTTGCACGCATATTGCAATAATGAAAGTTTGTTTGGTGTGTTGCACACACACACATATAGTGTATGTATACATACTATAAAACATATGAATAGTATTAAGGTAAATGCAACTGTAGCAGGTTTGTCTCTCCCCACTAAGCCACTAAGCAATGTTCTCCAACTCACTAAACTCCATTTTGTCAGTTCTTTGCAACCCCAGCTCTAATGGAGAAAAATCATTCTAACAAGGTCAGTTACTAAACGAAGCGATTAAAGCTTTTGAAAAAATAAATGGTTGATGTAGGAGGAATGTCTTCTTAGATCAAAGCATTTCCTTTTGAACTGTTCCCTTTTCCACAGCATGGAATTTTATTGTTTCATCAAATGTTTCATTATTTTTTTCTTTAAAGTGCTGTCTCTGCCTGTTCCATTA